TCATCTCATACTCAAAAGGCTAAGATTCCTGTGGCTAAACAGCTTCAAGAGAGGCACATGGTTGAAGTCTCTGCTCCTCCAACTAAACTATGGCATGAGATTTCAGCTCGGAAACCAGCTTTTAAAAGCTTAAAGAATGATGCTTCTGTAAGAGTACATTTACTGCATAGGCAACCATAATAGGTTAATACATGCCATAAGAGTTGTCCAAGAAAAGTAGGCCCAGAGTAGTAAAAAGCAGTGATTTAAGTTTTGAAAAGGTAGTTATAAGAAGCATGAAGATGACAGGACTGGATCTTCAAGTAACTGATTTAGAAACTTCAAACTCCAAACAAAGCCTAACCCAACTACCACGATGGACAATGCTTATCATCATGGCCCATCTTAAAAATAAGGTCCCTATATTTAAAAAGGCGGGGGTCTAAGTTCTTGAACAAACTATAAGGGCAACTCCAGAGTTGAAAGGGAGTTACTCAATTGTAGTCTCTGCAATCTCCAGCTAGAAGCTTCTTTTTGAAGAAAAACATCTTTGTTATTGACTACTTATATGGTACTAGTGGTATGTGAAATTGTTGTAGCTGGAAAGAGACTCCAAGAGCTGTCATGGATTTGGAAGGACCGATTTATGAAGGCACAAAAAGGTAAGTTATTATTATACTTACATTTAAACACATTAGGAACAGAGAAAAGGATGCTGAACTAGAACTCTGAAAAGTAATGCTCTGTGTGAAATGTTAAGTTAGCTAGGAATAAAGTGAGTTGTGGGGGATATATTTACATATTTTGATAATATACCAAAGAAAAGCAGTGGTCTGTATCAGAGTGAGAAGAAGTTAAATGGAATGGTAAGACAAAGTTGCCATTTTCACTGTTTAAAATAACTAAGTTTCTAAAGTCTGAGGCAGCAAAACCTTAAAAAGGGGATTGTACTGGGACCACTTTACTTCTTTATCATAGAATCATAGAATATCAGAGTTGGAAGGGACCTCTGGAGGTCATCTAGTCCAACCCCCTGCCCAGAGCAGGACCAATCCCCAACTAAATCATCCCAGCCAGGGCTTTGTCAAGCCTGACCTTAAAAACTTCTAAGGAAGGGGATTCCACCACGTCCCTATGTAACACATTCCAGTGTTTCACCACCCTCCTAGTGAAAAAGTTTTTCCTAATATCCAACCTAAATCTCCCCCACTGCAACTTGAGATCATTACTCCTTGTCCTGTCATCTGCTATCACTGAGAATAGTCTAGATCCATGCTCTTTGGATCCACCTTTCAATTAGTTAAAAGCAGCTATCAAATCCCCCCTCATTCTTCTCTTCCGTAGACTAAACAATCCCAGCTCCCTCAGCCTCTCCTCATAAGTCATGTGTTCCAGACCCCTAATCATTTTTGTTGCCCTTCACTGGACTCTCTTCAATTTCTCCACATCCTTCTTGTAGTGTGGGGCCCAAAACTGGACACAGTACTCCAGATGAGGCCTCACCAATGTCGAATAGAGGGGAACGATCAAGTCCCTCGATCTGCTGGCAATGCCCCTACTTATACACCCCAAAATGCCATTGGCCTTCTTGGCAACAAGGGCACACTGTTGACTCATATCCAGCTTCTCGTCCACTGTCACCCCTAGGTCCTTCTCTGCAGAACTGCTGCCTAGCCATTCGGTCCCTAGTCTGCAGCGGTGCATTGGATTCTTCCATCCTAAGTGCAGGACTCTGCACTTGTCCTTGTTGAACCTCATCAGATTTCTTTTGGCCCAATCCTCCAATTTGTCTAGGTCCCTCTGTTTCCTATCCCTACCCTCCAGCGTATCTACCACTCCTCCCAGTTTAGTGTCATCCACAAACTTGCTGAGGGTGCAATCCACACCATCCTCCAGATCATTAACGAAGATATTGAACAAAACCGGCCCCAGAACTGACCCTTGGGGCACTCCACTAGATACCAGCTGCCAACTAGACATGGAGCCATTGATCACTACTCGTTGAGCCCAACAATCTAGCCAACTTTCTACCCACCTTGTAGTGCATCCATCCAGCCCACACTTCTTTAACTTGCTGACAAGAATACTGTGAGAGACCGTGTCAAAAGCTTTGCTAAAGTCAAGGCTCTAGAGCATGTGAATTATCCCTAATAGAGAGATGCTGCAATAATGATCAAAACACTACTATTTTCGATAGTGTTATTGCAGACATCTGGGTCATTACTATAGGCAAGTGTATTTTTCTTTTCTTAAATAAAGGACTTTGCTACCAGTAAAAAGGATAGACAGCTATGCCAGAAATCATTTCCTGTTTCTTACAATTTCACTAATAGATTGTAAGTAAGTAATTTTCATAAACCTAATGCTACTTACATAGAATAATAAATGTCATAATGAAAAGTTGTGTTCCTTGACCCAAAAAGACAGATAATAGCATTCCCTTCCTTGGAGGTCTAAATACATCTCCATGAACCAACTTCCAAACAAATTCCTCTTGGGCATCTTCCTGCATAATAGCAACATCTTTATTAAATATACATAATTCAGCAGTGAATTAATATAAGCAAGAAGTGAAACATGTTTTCAAAGTTTGATTAACTTTCAGTTTGGCTCCAAAGACAGACTAATTGTATTGATTCATCACTCACTGATTTTACAATCCCCTCACGGTTTACTGGAAGAAAAAGGCAAGATTTATCATGAAAATACTTGCCTTTGAGAGTGACAGAGAAACAAACACTGTAATTAACAAAGATCCTCCTAAGACAAATGTAAATGTAAATCAAAACAAAGCATTCCATTTAATTCCACTTGAAATACACCAGTTCACGTTGGTTTAAATATTTATCTCTTTTGCTTGTCTTAAATACCAGTGTACCTGGTATTTAAGTTGTACTTAAATAAATATATAATATAATATATATAATATAATATAATATGTAATATATAACAGAGGTTGCAAAAGTGATCTATATGGTCATATTTTGATCAGAGAACATCACAGTAGCTCTTATCATGGCCCGGCTCTGCGTGGCCAGGAGGCGGAGCCTTGGGGGAAGTGGAGCAGGGGCAGGGCCTAGTGGTAAGAGATGAGGGGGGCCTCAGGGGAAAAGGGGTTGCAGCAAGTCCACCAACAAGGGTGATAGGGTGTTCCTGAGTAAAGGAGGAGGGAGAAGTTGGAAGGTAGGAGACCTTGTGTTTTGGAGAAGACTGAATAAATGTGACCCCACAAAGGGAACTCTTGTTTTAAATATTTCAGGCTGAGAGTAAGTCATTGCAAGGACCTTAGAGGGAAGGGCAGAGTGCCTGCAGGGCCACCTCAAGGCCCCAAGGAGCACTCTGGGGTGGCACCCATGCGCAGGGACATGGCCAGAGTGTGCTGTGTTCTTGGAAGCCATTAAAATCAGGCGGTCAGCCCATCCCCCAGGCTGCTCTAAATTCTACTGGGGCCAGGACAGAACAGGTCAGCAAATCAAACCTCTGTAACTGGCTCCTTGCCATCTCTGCTCTCTACAGCATGGCAGGAAGGGGTAAGGTGCAGCAGAGAAGCCATCTGGGCCTGTCAACAATCAGATGACTGGAAGGCTGGTCCTGTGGTCTGGGCAATGCTCTGCAACTCAAGACAGGTGGGTTTAATTCCCTCCATGGGCAAACCATTTGGGCTGTCTCTGGTGGATAATATCCCGGCCCTGCCTTACAGTGATGGCAGGAGGATAAATACATTCAAGGTGCTCAGATAGTCTAAGGTCAGGGTTCCACAGAGCAATGCCCCTGACATTTGTTTTTAAAAGGCCTCTGACCACAGCCTCCTGTGACAGGTGGCTTCTGAGATCCCCGTGATTACAGTACCTTATTTGTGACAGAAATGCCAGATTTCAGGGGTGACAGCGAGGGGTAGGAGTGGATTTCTGAGAAGAGATTTGGAATGTCATGGAGTCTAAAATCATGCCTCACCAATCTATTAGAATTCTTTGAGGGGCTCAAAAATCATGTGGACAAGGGAGATGAAGTGAGCTGTAGCTCACGAAAGCTTATGCTCAAATAAATTGGTTAGTCTCTAAGGTGCCACAAGTCCTCCTTTTCTTTTTGCAGATACAGACTAACACGGCTGCTCCTCTGTAAGTTGTACATAGTGACATCTGCTGGAAATGCCTGAACTGGCAGCAATGATCTGCTCTTGCTCAGAGAACAGATGTCTGAAAGGCGTAACACATTTTGTAAATTACTGAAAAAAGCTGAGGTTACAATTCCAATTGAGCCTTAAAATTTAAACACAAATGTTAATGGACAGCAAGCTCATGCAAGCAGTAAAATCAGAGACTCTAAGGAGGCTTGGATGGCTCAAGAGAAAAGTAATACATTATCGAGCATTGTACCTCAAGGTTACGGGTTCAAGTCAACTTCACCTGGGTGGAAAACGAAAGCTGTTATATGAAAGCTGTATGATTGTCTTCACCAAATGAACTAGTGCTCTCAGTTCAATTCCTAGTAGACAGGAGTCTTATATCACAAAAACAAACCCTAATTACCATATTTTTAGGATAGGCTGAACAGAGGCAACAAGTTTTGAAACAACAGGGAAACTGAACCTAGGATGTGAGGATAGGAGGTTACTTTTCAGATAGGGGTAAAGGCACATTCTCAAGTATGATTGGCTACTGCCCTGTGCTGTATTAGGTGAATTAAGGACTGATAGTCTTTGAAAACAATCTCCCTCTTTATCAAGTAGGTAATTCAGTGCTTGCAAGAGCCTGGGCAAAGTTATAATGAAGGCATTTTCAAATCAGATAAGACAGAAACTCAGCTGGAAAGGACAAAAAATACGCTCACTTTAAGGCTCTTCTACCACCAAAGTTCAGATTGCACTGTTATTCATAAAACTAATATTCGTAAAACCGTTAAAATAGTGCAAATGTTTATACTAGACAAATATAACTGCCAGAAAGAACCTGGATCCAAACAATTTAGGGGACTGGTTACAAAAAGATTAATATGCCTACCTCAAATCAATTCCAGTTTGTTCATGAATTCACCAGGAATCTCCATAAGGGGACCTCCACAATTTAAACTGTTTTTATCCGTATGTTTGTAGCTAGCAAGACAGAAATTTTAAAGATTCATACCTGTTGACTGGGTAGAGAACTTCACAATTATTTAAAAGTAATTAAGACTCTCGTGAAAAATGTAGCCATCTACTTTTTCGCACCAGCTATACAACTTCTTTATTGAGAACAGGCTTTTGTTGCCCACAATCAAAATGGACATGGTCTCTCTGCACATGTGAAGAATTTGGTTTTGAGGTTTTAGAAAGTTTGAGCAAACGTAGTTCAGCCATTTTGGATTATGAGAATAATAGGAAAATAGATCTCCTGTTACTCAACATTCTTGCTGCAGCCAAAACTGATGTGAAGAGAAAGTTGAAACACATCAGATAAATTGCCTGCACTGAAGAGAACACTCAATCGCCATTAATGAGTCAGTTTTATCATCAGTGAACATGAGAATGGTCATAAAGGGTCAGGCCACTAGTCCATCTAGCCCACTATCCTATCTTCCAACAGTGGTCAATGCCAGAGGCTTCAAAGGGAATGAACGGAACAGGGAAATCACCAAGTGATCCCCTATCATCCAGTCCCAGAATCTGGCAGTCAGAGGCCTAGGGACACCCAAAGGATGGAGTTGCATCCCTGACCATCTTGGATAGTAGCCAATGATGGACTTATCCTCCAGGAACTTATCTAAATTATTTTTTGGACCCAGTTATAATTTTGGGCTTCAGAGCATCCTATGGCAATGAGTTCCACAGGTTGACAGTGTGTTATATGAAGAAGTACTTCCTTTTGTTTTAAACCTACTGCCTATTAATTTAATTGGATGACCCCTGGTTCTTGTTACCTCTTACGCGAAGGGGTAAATAACACTTCCTTATTCACTTTCTCCACACCATTCATGATTTTATAGACTTCTATCAATTCCCCCCTTAGCTGTCTCTTGTCCAAGCTGAACAGTCCCAGTCTTTTTAATCTCTCCTCACATGGAAGCTGTTCCATATCCTTAATCATCCAATGAAGTGAGCTGTAGCTCACGAAAGCTCATGCTCAAATAAATTGGCTAGTCTCTAAGGTGCCACAAGTACTCCTTTTCTTTTTGCGAATACAGACTAACACGGCTGTTACTCTGAAACCATTCTCTATATCTTTTCCCTTTCCAATGTATCTTTTTTGAGATGGGCGTGACCAGAACTGCACATATTATTCAAGGTGCAGGCATACCTCACATTTATATATGGGCATTATGATAATTACGATCTTATTATTGATCCCTTTCTTCATGGTTCCTAATATTGTTAGCTTTTTGGACTGCCACTCCACATGGAGCAGAAATTTTCAGAGAACTATCCACAACTCCAAGATCTTTTCTCGAGTGGTAGCAATTAATTTAGACTCCATCATTTTATATGTATAGTTGGGATTATGTTTTCCAGTGTGAATTACTTTATATTTATCAACATTGAATTTCATGTGCCATTTTGTTGTCCAGTCACCCAATTTTGTGAGATTCCTTTGTACCTTTTTGAAGTCTGCTTTGGACTTAACTATCTTGAGTAGTTTAGTATCATCTGCAAACTTTGGCACATCACAGTTTATCCCTTTTTTCAGATCATTTATAAATGTGTTGAACAGCACTGGTCCCAGTTCAGATCCATGCAGGACACCACTATTTACCTCACTCCATTCTGAAAACTGACCATTTATTCCTACCCTTTGTTTCCTGTCTTTTTACCAGTTACTGGTCCATAAGACGATCTTCCCTCTCATACCATGACTGCTTACTTTGCTTAAGAGTCTTTGATGCGGGACTTCGTCAAAGGCTTTCTGAAAATCCAAGTGCATGATATCCACTGTATCCCTTTTGTCCGCATTTTTGTTGATCTCCTCCACAAATTCTAATATATTAGTGAGGCATGATTTCTCTTTACAAAAGCTGAGTTATGACACTTTTCAAATGGTGCCCCGTGCATATGGAGTATACTTCACACAAGGTTGTTTGCTAAGCATGTGTCATGCAGCCAAAGAAAGCCCATCCTGTGTGCTGGAAAGCATATTGCAAGTTCAATGGACTTGGGTAGCCCTGCTATGACATATCTTAGAAACTTTGCAGCAGGGAGAGGCACAAAGTAGAGCTCTTAAGGTTTTCATGAGAAGGACTCTCTCCTACAAATCTACCAAGGTAGGTTCTTGGGAACCCCTGAACACTGTGCTGTTTAGCTAACTAGCTCCATAATACAGAAAATACACTCACTATTACATATTTACAAGGAAGCCAAGCTGCAAAGCTTTAGAACACAGCATCTTTATAAAGACTTAGGCTATCCCATATACAAAATACAACAAGAGAAAAAATGATAAAATTAAGGTTGTACTGTCAAGGCAAGGAATTACTGGATTAAGGAGTAAAACCACAGCAGGCCAACAACCCCTTAGGACTTTAGGGTTTTCAGAGAAAAACACAGGCTGGGTTTTCCGCAAAAAGTGAAGTCAGGAAGATGTAAATCTTTGAATACATTGATATAATAGTCAACAGAGCACAGACATTTCTTCAGAAAGACTGAAGTTAGTTTACTTCAACTGTAATTTCTAGTTTTGCTACCCATGGTTGAAGACACTGAAGCATATTAAAACGGCATGTATTAGGAATTACCTTTTTGGATCCAGTCTTGCCATTATCAGTCTTGCTCCAGGTCAGCTTTCATCTTTCCCACTATGGTACAAGATTGTAATGTCAACATGGTTGAAGAGCTACAAAGTGTTCCTCTTGTGAAACTGAGACTGCAAAATATTACATGTTTGAAAAACGTTTCCAGTAGAAGAAGAATACTGTAGTCAAAGATCTGAGTACTCCACAATAAAATAATATTTGGGGGTGTTGGGGAACACACAGAAGGGGTGGAGGAATGAGGAGTATTTTGTATATTCTCAAAATAAAGATTACAAGGATAACAAATCCACAGAAGAAAATAAGGATAAAGAATAAACTTTGTATTCCACAAGGTTTACAACAGTCTACATCAGCATTGCAAAGTCATCATAAGAAGCTCCAGTGCAGATACAGAAGTCTACTCACTCTTTGTCTCCATATAACCAGTGGTGAGCTGGAGCCAGTTCGCACCAGTTCGCGCAAACTGGTTGTTAAATTTTGAAGCCAATTTAGAACCGGTTGTTAAAGGGGTGGGCAAACTCCGTCCTGTCTGGCCTGCCTGAGCTCTCGGCTGGGGAGGCTCCCCTGAGAATCCCTTTTTAATTTTTACTCACCCGGTGACGCTCCGGGGCTTCGGCGGCACTTTGGCAGCGGGCCCTTCAGTGCCACCGAAGACCCGGAGCGACTGAAGAACCTGCCGCCGAAGACGCAGAGCGAGTGAAGGAACCGGTTCTTCAGCTTTTGGCAGCTCATCACTGCATATAACGCACACTAACTGTTGCTCTTTGTCCTCCCTCTAGTGGCTAGAGCAGAGGTCCCCAAACTATGGGGTGTGTCCCCTTATGGGGGCATGGAGGAACCTTTGGAGGGGCACGTGGGGGCCTGGGCCTATTCACACAGGGGGCAGGGAAGGAGCACCACCCAGCCCCTCTCCCCCGACCCCAACTCTGATCCAGTCCTGCCCACAGTCGCGTCCCCAGCTCCCAGCCCATGCCTGGCCTCGTTTGAGTTCCACTTCCTGCCCCGCCCCTGCCCCCAGCCTCAGCCCCATTCCCAGCCTGGGGCAGAGGCTGGGGGTGGGGCCAGGAGCAGAGAAGCACACGGCCCCAGGCTCGGATGCCAGTCCACACTGCGGCCCGGCTTCGCTCCCATCCGCAGCCTCAGACCCTGGCCACGGCTCCTACCCAAGCCCTGCTCCTGGTCCCAGACCCATCCCCAGCTGCAGCCCAAGCCTCAGCCCCCTTACTTCTGTCCAGCTCCCCATCCCCACCCCCAGCCACGACTCTACTCCCAACCCCAGCTCTGGGAGGAGTAGGGGGGTGCCGGCAGAGGTAAGGAGGGGCATGACCCTCAAAAGTTTGGGGAACAATGGGCTAGAGCACAGAGATTTGAGTCTGCTATTATCTCTAACACATGTGGTTCTTCAGCTGAATAGTAAGTAAAAATGCCTTCTTCCCCTCATGCTTTGCTGCATAGATTAATCTGTCCTTGGCCTGAAAGCACTCAGATCAGTATTCCTTCAGGATTCCAACAAAATTAACATTAGGGAATTCTAGTGTTGAAATATCCTCTAGGATCCAATGACTCTGGATTTGTTTCCTTCCCCAATGACCAAGATCCTTGTATTATTGGCGCAGTGCTAGTTTTCCAACATTTTGCTACAACTCTCCAGTAACTGTATTTAGTCACTGGTTTGTTTTCTTTGCCATTTTGTGCAGTTTACGTGTTCTGGAGGCACTGGAAAATTAATTTGTTGCAGCAAGTGTGGGGATATGCAGTAGCCATGTCAGCATGTTATATTATATTATCTCTCTTTATATAAAGAAAATAAAAGCAGCAAAGCAATAATTGCTTCCAAATTTAGGTAGGATGGAATATGTATTTTGGTGTATTTTTAAAAGATGCTGGAACAATGCATAGCATTTTACCACCTTTGCAATTTAAACTTATAGGCATAACTACTGTGTTCTTCCTTGCCCATATGACAGTTACTTCTCTGGCACAATGCCATATAAATATATTTAATCCATTCATTTATACACAGACATTACCAGGCTCTGACATCCACTGATGCAGAAGCACTGTACAGCAGAGCTAGTGCTTTATCCAAACATGTACACTTTATAAATAGGTTTGTACTGTATACTCTTCTCTCTGGGAAAATCATCTGGTACCTGTGTATCAAAACACAGAGAAGTTTAAGCTGTGGAGTTTTCAGCTTACTATCTTTGAAACAGCCAATATGCATTTACTAGCCAATTGTTAGATCTATCACTATACAAATGTAATCCATAAAATAGTGGTACTAATACATTCATCTATGAGCCCTGTTATCATAACAGCATTAGTGTGATACAAGTTTACTGTATTCGCCTACACTACTACTGGAGGAATGATGTGCCACTGCGCACGCACAGAATTCATGTTGTCCGCAGATTGCTTTGCTTCCCCACAGAAAAATTATTTCTGAGGGGAATCAAAGGGAAGCCGCAAGAGCTGTCACTTGCACCTCCTCAGCAGCCCAGAGCAGCTGGCGGAGATGTAAATCAGCCTGGGGGTGGAGGGACTTTGTATGCGTGCAGGGGAGACATCAATCACCACTGGGGATGGTGGCATGGGGGGAGGCTTGCGTGCATGCATGTGAGCGAACGAAAGAGACTCTGTGCCTCTGGCTCGCTATTGTGGCATGACCAGCATGCAGGGGCAGGGTTTCGGGATGTTTGGAGGCAGGCGTGAGGCAGGCACAACATAATATAGCAGCCTGACTGCTTAATTGTTCCCATTGTTGTTAGTAAATTGTTCCCATTCATAGTGAATTTCTCGAAAAGCGTAAACTTTTAAGGCTCCTTTACACTGCCAGAGTGGTGTAAAGGAGGCATATTGTAAATGACAGTATGGTCTTATAAATCCTTATGATGCTTTTGTGATTAGAACCGGTCTAAACTTTCAGACAAAAAATTTCCTGTCAAAATATGCTCCATGAACTGTTTACTACTGACCTTTCTGGAGTTGGTCAATAGCCAATATAAACTGTGAGTTTGATACCCCAGCCCTCACTTACTCTTCAGTTGCCTATGATGTAATACTGAGCATATGGCTACAAATATTTGTTGACTAATAGCTAGAAATAAAGGATCAAACCTAACTACATTATTATTAGACAAAGGGGATTCAGGGATTTCTGCCAATGCTCCCCATTCCCGTTCTCCATCCATTGTATGGTAGTTTAAATAAATTCCCAGAATTTTGCAGAATTTTAAAATATTGTGTGCAGAATTTTTGTTTTTTTGGCACAAAATTCCATTAGGAGTACTACACACACTTGCTGCTAACAGTTATTTTCTCCATCAAAGCAGAGTTTGACAAGCCTTTCCACAATTCTGAATAAACTATGTATATTTAATTGCCATTTTTGAGGACTACACATTTGTCAACAGACACATCGGTACTTGTTTCTTGGTGTTTGCTGGAAGGTTTCATTCCTAGTGAGTTCTTGTAATAAGCTGCATGCAGCATGAGCCCCATTAAAGTCAGTGGGGATCTGCGTGGATGAAGGGATTTGTCTGCATGGAGCAGGATCTGGGCTCAGGGTTTCAAACCACTACTGTTTCTGAGTTATGTACGCCACCCTTACAGAACTTGAAAATCTGCACGGATTTTATCCAAACTTTATTAAAAATTCCCCTCGGCCAGAGCCTAAACATGAATTTTTGACCCAAAATGTATTTCAGAAAGTTTAAACCCATGCTATACCAGGAAGTTATGTATGAAGCTATTTTGCCCTCACCCCGACCCGGAGTCCGTTCTCCTTCCCGTGGGCTGACGTCCATAACCTCTTGTTCAGAGTTATGGACAACCTCCATTCCTGAGGCGTCCATAACTCTGAGGTTCCACTGTACCGTGTTAGTGCAGACCAGCCTTCAGAGCGGTGGATTTACTGCAGCAACAAAAGAACCCCTTCTGTGGCTCTAGTAAGTGTCTGTACTACACCAAAACGGGGTGTAGATGAGGGCTTTTCCTCACATCCAGGTGTAACTGCACTGCAGCCGCTCCAGTGCACAGCTCTGGCCCACCAGCTGTGCTGCCATCCTTTCCTACAGCGCCAGAAGGGGTTTTCCCATCCCTGTAGGGCAGTGGTTCTCAAACTGGTGGTCGGGAGGCCTCAGGGGGTCACAAGGTTATTACGTGAGGGGGGGGGGTCACGAGCTGTCAACCTCCACCCTAAACCCCGCTTTGCCTCCAGCATTTATAATGGTGTTAAATCGATGTAAAAGTGCTTTTAATGACTAAGGGGGGGTTGCACTCTGAGGCTTTCTATGTGAAAGGGGTCACCAGCACAGCCGTTTGAGAGCCACTGCCGCAGGTAACCCATAGCCTGGGAGGCACTAGTTAGGACAGGGAAGAATCGTCCCCTCAATTTCGCTGCAGCCACAACAGGGACTGGGTCGACACGAGGCCGACCTAATGTTTAAGCGCAGGCGAGGGCTGGGTCTGTGTGCGAGGCCCACGCAGCGCTATCAGGCTGGCCCTAGGGCGCAGCGCTTCCCCTGCAGCAGGCAATCGCCCCCTCCCCCCCAAAAAACGCTCCCTATCCCCAGGATCCTACAACGACTCGGGCCTCTTCAGCGCCCCCCCCCGCGCCTACAAACCCCTTCCCCGCTGGCGGCTGCATCCGGGGCTCGCCATCGCGTTCGAGGCGGTGACGTCACTTATATAAAGGCCTGCAGCGCCTTTGTTCGCTCTCTCATTGCGCAGTTGCAGCTCGGTCTGCGAGGACGGGAACTGGAGGGGAGGTGAGCGCCGGCCGGCGGGACAGGCGGGAACGGAGCGGGAGAGCAGAGCAGAGCTGAGCGGGGCAGGAAAGGGGACGCCGAAGGGAGAGGGAAGAAGGGGGTTTTTTTTGGAGGGGGCCAGGTCCCGACGTTCCGTCGGGGAGTTAAACTTCCTCCCGCTCTGGAGTGGGGTGGCCGGGCACTCGCTGCGGTTGGGCGCCGCGCCCGCCTGGTCGCCGGATTCTCGGGGTGAGGAGCGGTGGCCGCCATTTTAGGTGTCGGGCAGTTTTCGGGTCCCGCTGGGTGGGCCTCGCGGTGTGTGTGTGTGTGTACACGCGCGCTCGCTGTGGGGAGGTGCGCGGCTCTTTGTTGCGTTTGGGGTGGCTCGATGCCGGGCAGACACACGTGGTCTGGTCGTTCCCAGTTCAGCTGCTGCGGCGGCCCGCCTCTCCGGTAGGAGATTATCCCCGCCAAACGTGGCCGCCATTTTGTGGTAGCGTCGCGAGACTGTTGAGGGTCTAACGCTCCTATCCCCCGCCCCCTCCGCTTTGCCTGGGGCTCACGCGCCTCTGCCTTTGTGACTGGCTGCGGATCCCGCGTGCTCTCGTCTCCCCGGCCGCATTGTGGCTGCCGAGCCCTCGGTATTCCCGGGGGGGGGGGGGGATGCGCTCTGGTTTTCCCGCCACTGGAGTTTGGGGGGCGGGTGAAGCAGCGTTGGCACATTCCTCCCCAGCTGCTGAGGCCCATCTGTCCTACAGTCGCGATTTACACCCGGCCCCTGGAGCGGCGTGGACGGGCCAGCCTAATAGCAACATGCTGAAAAATGCACCCTGGTTTCCAGACTAGGCTTGAACAGTTTGGAAATAAGAGCTGACCGGCCGAAACCGGCCTGAAGCGAATTACTCTGGGATTGTTTTGCATCATTTGAAACGTAGCTGCAGGGTCCTGTTTCTTTTCCTCTGGTAAAAGATTTTTTGTTTCCATAGGATTTAAAAATTGTTCCTTCTGCCCATAAAACATCATTCCTACATCATGTGCAGTCAGTTAGAGCAGGGCTTATTACGGTCTCCTCAGCGCCGCCCCCCCAGTTTCTGTATCCCGGCACTGTATTTTATAGCATGGCTTCCTTCTAGATTTATTCAAATTATATAGGTTCATCTGTTAGAAATACTATTAGGGTGCTAAATATGAATATCGTTTTGTAAAATTGATGCTTTGTTCTGTGTCTAGCTATCTCATTCTTTCATACAGATGATGGTCTCTGCTTCTTTCTCACTCTAAAGTTTCTAACTGACTTGGTTAGAAGTCACTCTTATATGGTGAGGAAGGAGAGGGAGGGTGTGTGTTGAAATACTTTCTGGAGTTCACACCTTCTTACAAAAAGGGAATTAAAGTTCTTAAATCTAGTGTCATCATGTCTCATTAATATAACTTATGTTTAATAGGTCCTACTAGAGTCAAAATGGTTGAAGCGGATCGTCCTGGGAAATTGTTCATTGGTGGACTGAATACAGAGACAAATGAGAAAGCTCTTGAGGCTGTATTTGGCAAATATGGGCGCATTGTGGAAGGTAAAAATAAAATTTCTAAATGGATACTAACTAAAAGTTGTGCTGTGATGAATCTTATGGCATTGATCAGCTGAAATGATACTGCTCTCATAGTCCTCTAAGAAGTTCTGAGCACGTTGTAAGGGGTAGGTTATGCTGTGAGATTTATGAAAAGTAGAATAACATTTAGGTTTATGTTTACAGTTCTCTTGATGAAGGATCGTGAAACGAACAAATCCAGAGGATTTGCTTTTGTCACATTTGAGAGCCCAGCAGATGCAAAGGATGCTGCCAGAGATATGAATGGAAAGGTATGATCTCTGTTTGATAAATCATGCTTGTTTTATCACTACTACAGTGCAGTGTCAATATTAATTATTTGAACTTAATAGCAGTGTGCTTTACAAACTAGATTTGTATTAAGATCTGAGAGACAAGTCCTACTGTAACAAATGACCAAATTTCTTTTCTGCTGCTAAACTTACAAATGCTGAATATAATCTTTGCTAACCCTATAGAACTGGCATTTATTAAAGCTTCTCTTCCTGTCCCAGGATTTGAGGGTGGGGGTGGGAAGCTTCCTGCTCAGGAGAATAAGAGGGAAGTTAATTTATGTATCTTTGAGAATCAGGATGCCTTTCAGATGGAGTTTTTAGCTTTTTGTTATACAGATTCTTTATCCTATCTGTTTGTAAAGCCAAAAGCTACATAACTCTAATCAAAGTCTCTAAATTTGATTATAAACAGCATCTACTGTACTGAATTGATACAAATGTAATTTCTTAATCTGGAAGGATGGGAGTTCGTGTTATATTGACATATTTTGATAAATATGAAGTTGAAGAGAAACAGTTCCATTTGTTTTTGGAATTTGAGACAGTTACTCAAGTCTTTTAGTGTTTGTTGTTCCTGCTTAGAGGATATAGAGAAAGGATATCTGCTTATTAAGCACACCTAAATTTGTCAAATAGGTACCAGATGCGTGATATGGAAAGTGGCTTGCCAGCTAACTCATTCAATAGTAGTAACAACCATGATTGCATCTGTGCTCCTTAACTAGGAACAGTAACTTTTGATGACAGGAAAGGACTGAATTGCTTCATTTAAACTGATATGCAAATAATGTAGCTATGCATTGTCAACTTTTTATGAAATAAGTGAAAAGGCCCAGAGTAGTAATGGGGATACATAGCCTAAGATCTGTAGGTCACAGGCTAGTATGTAGTCCCGGGTGGTATTGCAGTTGTGTTCTAAGTGGGAGATGTCTGCTGTTGCTGACCAGCATCACAGCCCTCCTTTTTTGCAGCCTCTTAAGCTCTGAACAACTATGTAGCAGGACTGAATTTACTTTTTCTTTGGAGGTGTCACCTTTAAATCAATTGACACATTGATGGGGCAGTTGAGGAAGCTTGTATTGATATTACTTGTCTTCCATAGCTAGAGTCCTTTAGTTGTCATTTGGCACTCTTCACTATTTGGTTTATATTCAATCACTTGAAATGTTTTGAGTGCATATCTTAAAGTGTGATTTAAGCATTATATTTTGCAGTGTTTCAATAGGTCTTTAGTAAGTATCTATGGAATCCTGGGAATGGAACATCAATGTGCTGGTAGTGTTCTTAGTTAAAACATTTAATTTCAGCAGAGCTCTCTTAATCCTTGCCTTATGTTGTCTCACAGTGAGAATCAAATACAAACAGTAAAAGCTAGCTATAACATGGTGTCCGGTCAGACTGTTTGAGCATGTGTTCTTGGTGCCCATGCCCAACTTAGTGTTACAATAACTTGTGCCACCATTTCAGAGATGAGCAGTCTTTCTGAGTCAAAGTTTACAGTCCTGTGACTTAGAAGGCAGTCGGACTCTTACTGACTTGTAGACAGTTCCTTAAAGGTGCTATTCCAGGATTTACCTCAAAATATGCATGTTACTGTAATACTGAGAATTATGTAGCACAATTCTAAAGTCCTCTTAAATACTGTTTTAACCAGAGTGGCTTGGAATAATTTGTGCTTTAACTGCTGAGGCACTAGAGATTAGTGACTGGCTGAGAGGATTTGATCATTTGACATCGTGTGTAGAGTACTATTCTAAAACTGCTCTTAAAACAAAATGATTCCTTGTTCTTATTTTAGATCTTCTGTATAACGGTATAACATTGGCCACACTTGGAATTTTTAGAATAAATGCCCAGTGTATTAGCTAAAATAGTGGCTTGTTTATATAATATTTAATTGTATTTCTTTGAGATCTGTGCATACTATTTTAGAATGCACCTCCTGCATCACTGGACTCTTAGAACCTTTATAAAGTGGTGCCTTATGGGTTGTGTGAGCACCCTCTCAATGCCCATAATGTTCTGAAGGGTGGTCCTAAGTGTCCAGCAGCCTTTGATTCCTTCTTCCTGTGATAAACTGCAGATGCATGGGGTGGAGGTCCTTACATGAGAAATCTTTAAAAACTTTAGGTTTTTAATAGTAGCTTGCTTAGTTTCTGGGCCACAGAACAGTTAAAATATCTGCATCTGCTTAAATTTGGATCCACCGCATTCTGGGTCAGTTATGGTCAATCCTAGAGGAAAACCGAGATAAAGTGGTACCTTCTGTGCGGCTTGCTTTTTCTATATAAAGAGGGAGACAAAAGGTGTAAGTGAGACATGTATTGTATTGGACCAGTTTCTGTTTGGTGAGAGACATTACCTCACCCACCTTCTCTCTAATATCCTGGGGCCAATACAACTACCACACTGCATCCTTCATCTTTTAGTCATTTGAATGTTGTGGAAGATAACCAAACGCTGGTGTTCTGTAATGCTATTCCTCTACACCTTAGGTCAGAAAAGACACATGCATTTCTCCAGGTTTTCTATAGGACAGAGCTCCCATGAGCCAGAGCCTTGTTCCCATAAAGGGGCCTCTTCAGTTCCATGGTTTCCTAAAGTGGGAAAGCAACAGAAGTTTTCTAAATAGGAAGTAGCAGCCTAAACCAGGTACAGGATTGTTAGGATACAGCAAGACTGACCTCTGGAAAAAAAAATTAAACCAGGTCTCTAATAAGTTATTGGCTGACCCCCTCGTAGCCAAAGAAGCGTGGGAGTTCTGTGCTTTTGGTTCTTTCTAACAGCACAAAAGAGAGCACAACACTTCAGATTGGTCAAGTTATTCTGCCTTTTACACTCTTACTTCTAGTAAGTCTCAAGTTTGATAGTTGCTGGGAGTCGATAGCTTTGCTTTGTTCTCTGTTGGGGATGGGTGATTCTCATCCTTGTGGAGTGACATTACCACGGATCACTGGGTTTGGGCTGCTATTTGGTCCATATGAGATTGAGTTCCATCCTGTGCTGCCTCCTAGCTTCTTTCCTATTAGCTTTCAGAGATCCCTCACATGATCTGCTATTCAGGATAAAACTGAGTTCTCTAGTAAGGATGGGCGTCAAAAGAAACAATACAGTTCAAGCAGTACAGAAGAAATTACTTCATAATGCTTCATCATTCTGAAGAGACTGTTTTCATCCTGTAATGGATTTAAGGAAACTGAACAATTACATCAGAGTTCAAATTATGTGTCATACCACAAGCTTTTATCCCTATTTTTCACTCTGAAACGGATTCAGGCATAAAGTGCATACTTTTACACAGTAGTCAGATTAGCTCACAAAGTACCATTGCTTCTTCATAGATGGTGATCACGACAGATAAACCCTTCTCTGGAACTATCCTTGGCTCTATTAGCCAAGGCTTTTCTACTAAGGAAGGCATTTGCCAGATGGTCGTAATGAAGGTGCTCACAGTGCAGTTTTCCTGAGATCACGGTGAACATGATCTTTCAAGGACACTTCCAGTCACACGTTTATGATTCTAAGTATGACCTCTGCCTACCTGCGGAGGAGATCCTTGCATAAGTGGTTGGTAGTGCCATACAGTCCAAATATAGGTGACTTGGGCATAGTGTTTATTTTACTGAAGGCTGTCCTAGATTCATCAGTGGGCTGATAGGTCTTTCTAGTACCAACTGTTGCAGATGCATTCAGTTTGGTCTGAGAAAGTGGACTGTTCATGGTCAATAAAACATGTGGAAAGCCAAACTCTGTATAAGAGTGTCTGGTTGCAAGCCATCAAGTGAACTTGAAAATCCTTTCTGCCTTTCAGTCAAGGACCACATAATACAAAGTGTCAGGACAGTATGACAGCCTGGTGTTATGATAGCAAGTGCTCATTTCTAGCTGCTCTATCAGGAAACAATGGACCTGGACCTGTTGCCTTGCTAATAATGAAAGTATTTACAGTTTTTGCATCCCTGCCCATTTTGGCTAATTGAAGCTGAAGTCAGACTACAGAATCAGTTATTAATGAGCAATATAAGAAGAATGACATGTCTATTAAATGCCTGCCAATGCACAAACTAATCCATTGACATCTTATGCTTCAGCTAGCATGGTGTTACCTGAAGGTTTTAGGCATTAATAGCACACCTTGGTTCTGTTTCTTGGAAATCTTTATAGCTGTTGTCCAAGGGTAATTCTCTAATCCTCACTTAATTAGAACCTTCCCAGTCAACCTTTTATAGGGTTATACTGATTGCCCATTCCCAGCTGCCGTGTAGGTAGTACACCAGCAACTGTAGTTCTTTGGTGGGTCAGCACCTGTATGGCTTTTATAACCATGGCTCTGAACATCAGTATTTGTTGCAGAGTATCTAGAGACCAGGTCCCTATTCTAGGCACTGCACAAACTAGTAAGGTGGTCGCTGCCCCAAAAAAGTTTATACATTTAAGCTTAATACATGATCCAACTATTGGATGTGCTGTGTTCATAAGGCTGTCTTGGGCCCAGCAAGCGAAAAGGTGTTAGTAAAACCCTTGTTCTGCGGATACAACGCTAAACAGTTAAAGGTGGTTTGGGGTTTTACAAACCGAGTTACTGTTGGCTGCCATTGTAGTAACCACTATTTAAATTTCTGACCTTTTATGGACACAAGAGGAGAAAGGGAAATAATTAAAGTATTTTAACTTTAAGGCTTTAAAATTAAGGCTTTTATTTTTAATTCTTGTTTTTCAGCTGTAGTCTCCTTTTTATAGAGTAGACCCTTGTTTGAGCTTTCCCAGAAGGCGCTAAAGATTATAGTAGCTGTCTAATCCCAAAAAGACTGTTCGTTAGATTGTCTTGAGCTGTTGGAATTAAATTCTGTTTGTTTTAGAATCAAACAAGAAGCTTATTCATATGTAGGAAAAATAAAAGCAAAGATAAAATAATGCAGCTTGTGTCACTAATGCTTTTCTTCACTTGCATCCTAGCTGCTGGTAAAACACAGGCTCTGCATATTATCCATTAGTTACTTTAAGACCTTTGCAAACTTACTAGCATTGGACTGTCCCAGGCACTTGTAGCTGGCCTTTTTGGTCACAGGTTCACAGCACCTGCTGCAGAAGGTGGTGATATCTTGGCTGAGTAAGCCAGGGTTTCAATGAACAGAAAGCAAAAAGATAGGAAAGAAGTAACGTGGGGAAGGAAAACCACACATTAGGGAGTTAGGTGATAAAAGGCACTTAAAGCTTGCATTCAGAATTTCTAAATGCCAGATGGTCAATGAGGTATTTTGGTATCAGAACAGCAAAAGCACAAAAGTGTCAGGAATCTACAATGAGCCGGGAGAATGGTCATGATGAAGCTTGCTCCTTCCAGTCTTTTAGTGACCTTCACACAAATTATGTCCAAGAAGTGATGGCATCCTCATGCAATTGAAACTAACCAATCAAAACACTTGCTTCCGTTTCTAGAATATTTCAGCTCATCATGACAACTGGTGGCTTTTCCATGTGCCTCGAAGATGCATTGTCATAGTAGTTCTAACTTAAACAATCCAGTTTACCAGTGTTTGTGTCTCCAGCTTGTATCCAATAGACTGAGTTGGACTCTTGGGTAATTTAAGACTACAGGCTTCTCCACAACACAAGCTATGGGAGAGTACTTGTACTGCACCACTGGCAACTAATTTCTATGAAGCTTCAAAGCTGCGGGCGATAAGGGGGTGTCACCACCTACAGGCATCTCTTTCCTTGTGAACAATGGCCTTAGAATCACTAACTGCAGAAAGGGAAAACTAAAATCGAGTTGATTCTCTTTAATGAGATGTTGTATTTAGCACAGTAATCCTAACTATTTTTGTCCTTTTTGAGTTCTGGGCAGAGTAGATGTTCGGAAACCTAAATAACACACACCTTTCACAGAGCCTGCAGTCTTGGTAGATAGGCTCAAATCCTTTAAGGACTCTTGACTCTTTGATTCCAAAACTTGTGATAACCCAGCACATAATAGGCTGGTAACAAAGCAGCTGTAAAACTTTGAGTTTACTTGTTGAATATATTGAACACTGAGCTTGTATTATGGCCACACAAGGCACCCATTTCTGTAGAGCCATGCCTTTAAATCTAGATCTAGAATCGGCTCTTGCTTTTTAAAAAAAATATATATATATATATAGTGGTTTCAGAGAACCTTGAAAACAACATAAACTGACTGTCACCTTTTTGAGTAGGTAGCCTGATGCAATAGTGCAAAGGTATCAACTGCCCAGTTCATTGTTAATTCTGAAACTGCCTTTAGTTTTCATGCCAACTTTAATTTAGTTCACGGCTGATCATCTTCACAGAAACATCAAGTGAATACGTCCAGCTGCCTTCCCATGTGCCAAAAGCTCCAGCTGACAAACCTTAAGCTTCATCCCTGGAACTTCTGATGCCACTATAGTTTGGTACAAAAATCCTGTGGCTTACTGAAAACTGAAACTGGAGAGAGTAGTACATACATAGCACATATTTAAAACAGATGTATGTTCTAAGTTAAACACAACAGAAATACCAGAGTTCCAATTTCTGAAATTGCTGCAGATTTCCATTAAGTGCCACAGGAGCAAAGGACCTTTCTGTAGAACTTATTCCTTCTGAGTACATTCCCGGTTGTTTATACCGGCATGCTGAAGATTCAGAGCTGTTCTAGAATTACAAACCTTCTTAATTTATAATGTAAAAGCCCAGTAACAGTGAAGCTGAACATAAGAATGGCTCTACTGGATCAGACCAATGGTCCATCTAGCCCAATTGCTTATTTAAGACATAGAAGCATAACTGAGCACTGAGTAAAGCAGCTTCTCTTTTTAGTCATTAGATGGGAAAGCAATTAAAGTGGAACAAGCAACCAAGCCATCCTTTGAAAGTGGTGGTAGACGTGGGCCACCACCCCCTCCAAGAAGCAGAGGTCCTCCCAGGGGCCTTAGAGGTGGAAGAGGCGGAAGTGGAGCAAGAGGACCACCTTCAAGAGGGAGTCACTTGGGTATGTATTTACATATCTGATAACACTTGGACAACATGGAAGACCATCAGATTTGGAAGGTGACAATATCCCTCTGAAAAATCAAGCCACTGAATAAAGTATTCCTTGTTTTTAAATTAAAAACAGATGAAAATGTGCACTCTGCAGTTGAGCCAAATTATTGGCTCAGTAATTAGACTTAAATCTTCTAGTGTGTGAGGGTTCCTTTCTGCATATAGCATTCTGCTTGACTTTTGGCTCAAACAGAAAGCAAAACTCCTCCCTTGCAAGCGAGGAAGGAAGCATTCTGGTGTCCTGGTTTGAAAGTCATCTTGCAGCTGGGAAAAAGGTGAACGCTTTGCAGTCTTACTGCCAGAAGACAAAACTCAATAAACAATAGCTGCTGACTTCAGGGATTGATCCTTTGAGGGTCAAGCTTAATTATCTGGCAAGATAGGGATCTGCAAACTTTGAGCACTGCTTGTTTAATATAGCACTGTTTAGAGCTGTAGCTTTTAGGAGAGATACTTGACTGGTTATCCTTTGATGTAGAAAACGTTAGAGTAGCACACAAGATTTTGTTAGTTTGTCTGGATACTGGACTAAAATTAAGCAAGCTGCTTTCTTAATCGGAGAAGCAAGTAGCCCCTTATCTGGGGTGTAGTTGAATCAAAACAGCCAGAAAGCAGTTCTGTGAGGTCTGTATAGTGGGTCCTGCACAACCTCCAGGGTAGGATGTGGTCAAATCTGCTTTTAGGCTGCTCTGCTCCTTATTTGGCCACAATATCTGGAAGCAGTGGACTTGTGCATTATCTAGGCTACATGACCATGTAATCTGATTTACGTTACTCTTCCTCTTTTGGTCACACTGCATCTTTTATTCCTGACTGGGGCTTCCCAGATTTGACCGCTGTACCAAAAAAAGAGCCATTATGGAATCTCAGGGAGCATGCATGTGGCCAGAGTGTTACAGTTCTTCTCCACTTGTCTCCAAGTTCTTCCTACAGACTTCTGCTCTGGCTTGGTGGTACTGATTTGCCACTGCTTAAGCATCTCAAATTTTAGCCCTTTAACCTGCAGGAATATAAAAAATGGCTTATCTAGATCTTCCCATAAATGATCGGTTGACTGACTCTTTACCTTTTTAGGTTCTTCTAGGGGGCCACTTCCAATGAAGAGGGGGCCACCTCCACGAAGTGGCGGACCTCCACCCAAAAGATCTGCACCTTCAGGGCCAGTGCGTAGCAGTAGTGGAATGGGAGGGAGAGGTAAGGAGTTGTTCAATGTGTTTCTTTTTGGTTGTCTGGAATAACGAGGCTGGATTTATTCGTGCCTGTAACACATCACCAGTGACTTCAAATCAAATTCATTTTTTTGTTAGCATAATGTTTATGCTTGTATAGCTATTGTCTCTTCATGTCAGCAAAACTTTCAGATCTGTGACTTTTTAAAGATGTTCCTCTACTGCTGTTTTTTAGTTTTGAGTAGCAGCCATGAAACAGTATTGCACTGAATGCAGACTATAGCAAAGTGATGTCCTAAATAACTCTGAACTATGCTGTTAATACAACTTTGCATTGAGGAACTTCCTCTGCAGCAGCTGTCCTTCATGCTTGCTTCATTTTTAAACAGTTGATTTACGTGAATTGTACTTCTTTAAAGCTCCTGTATCACGTGGAAGAGACAGCTATGGTGGTCCTCCACGCAGAGAGCCAATGCCATCACGGAGAGATGTCTACATGTCACCAAGAGATGATGGTTATAGTACAAAAGACAGGTAAAGTTAATGCATTATAGTTAAAGCTTAATACCAGGGTCCTGATTTCTTATTTTGTCTGCAAAGAATTATGCTCACCTATGAGGAGCTGGTTGAGAATTTGAAAGTGGAGGGTAGCTTAGGTGAAAAAGTGATCATGAAATGGTAGAGTTCTTGATTTTAAGGAATGGTAGGAGGGAGAACAGCACAATAAAGCTAATGGGTTTCAAGAAGGTAGACTTTAGCAAACTCAGGCAGTTGGTAGCTAAGATCCCATGGGAAGCAAGTCTAAAGGGAAAACAGTTCAAGAGTTAGCAGTTTTTTCAGAGAGACTTTATTAAGGGCACAAAAGCAAACTATCCCACTTCATAGGAAAGATAGACGTATGGTAAGAGACCACCCTGGCTTAATTATGAAATCTTCAATGATTGGAAACTCAGAGTCCCACAAAAAGTGGAAACTAGGTCAAATTACAAAGGATGAATATAACCAAATAACGTGAGTATGTAGGGACAAAATTAGAAAGGCCAAGGCACAAAATGAGATTAAATTAGCTAGAGACATGAAGGGTAACAAAGCATTCTAGAAATACATTAGAAGCAAGAGGAAGACCAAGGACAGGGAAGGCCCATTACACAACGATGGTGAGGGAGAACAATAACAAAATGTGGAAATGGTGGAAGTCCTAAATGACTGTTTCAGCTTTCACCAGAAAGGTTATTAGCAATCGGGCATCTAACATGTGAATACCAGGGAAAAATGAGGTAGGATCAGAAGCTAAAATAGGGACAGAACAAGTTAAAAATTACCTAGACAAGTTAGATGTCCAAGGCACCAAAGCCTGATGAAATACATCCTGGAATACTTAAGGAGCTAACTGAGGAGATATCTAAGACATTAGCAATTATCTTTGAAAAGTCATGGAAGAAGAGATTGATTGCAGAGGCCTGGAAAAGGGCAAATGTTAGTGCCCATCTATAAAAAGGAAAATAAGGACAACCTGGGGAATTTCAGACGAGTCAGTTTACCTTCAGTACCTGGACAGATAATGGAGCAAATAATTAAGTAATCAACTTGCAGATAATAAGGTGATAAGTAACAGCATGGATTACAAAGCACGTCAGACTAATGTAATGGCTTTCTTTGACAGGGTAACAAGTCTTGTGGATGGGGCGGGGGGGGGGGGAGCGAGTGGTAGATGTGGTATAGTTTGACTTTAGTAAGGCTTTTGGTACTGTCACATGACATTCTCATAAACAAACTAGGGAAATACACTGTAGATGGAGCTACTATAAGGTGGGTGCATAACTAGTTGGAAAACCATTCCAGAGAGTACTTTAGTTATCAGTGATTCACATTCAATCTGGGAGGCCATATTGAATGGGCTTCTGCAGGGTTCCTTTCTGGGTCATGTTCTGTTCAACATCTTCATCAGTAGTTTAGATAATGGCATAGAGAGTAAACTTACAAAGTTTGCGGACAATACCAAGCTGGGAGCAAGTGCTCTGGAGGATAGGATTAAAATTCAAAATGATCTGGAGAAATGGTCTGAAGTAAATAGGATGAAATTCAATAAGGACAAGTGCAAAGTACTCCAGTTAGGAAGGAACAATTGCACCCATACAAAATGGGAAAAGACTGCCTAAGAAGGAGTTCTGTGGAAAGTGATCTGGTGGTCATAGTGGATTACAAGCGAAATATGAGTCAACTGTGTAACACAGTTTAGGGGGGCGGGAAGCAAATATTCTAATATGTATTAGCAGGAGTGTTGTAAACCAGACACAAGAAATAATTCTTCCGCTCTACTCCATGCTGATCAGTCCTGAAGTGGAGTATTCTGTCCAGTTCTGGGCGCCACGTTTTGGGAAAGATGTGGACAAATTGAAGAAAGTCCAGAGAAGAGCAACAAAATTGATTAAAGGTCTAGAAAACATGGCCTATGAGGGAAGACTGAAAAAATTGGGTTTGTTTAGTATGGAGAAGAGAAGACTGAGAGGTAACATAACAGTTTTCAAGTACATACAAGGCTGTGAAGAGGAGGGAGGAAAAATCGCAGCAAGGGCGGAATAGGTTGGACATTAGGAAAAGCTTCCTGTCAGGGTGGTTAAGCACTGGAATAAATTGCCTAGGGAGGTTGTGGAATCCCCATCACTGGAGATTTTTAAGAGCAGGTTAGACAAACAACTGTCAGGGATGGTCTAAATAATACTTAATCCTGCCACGAGTGCACGGGACTGGACTAGATGACCTTTCAAGGTCCCTTTCAGCCCTGTGATTCTATGATACTCATAAATAATATAACTATCACTTTTTTCTAGTTATTCAAGTAGAGATTATCCAAGTTCCAGGGATACAAGAGATTATGCTCCGCCTCCAAGAGATTATGCGTACCGTGATTATGGTCATTCCAGCTCACGTGATGAGTACCCCTCTAGAGGATACAGGTACCTAGCATTATATTTTTCTCAGCTTCAGTCACACTCTGTCACAGCACTGATTTGTAGTAAGTCTCAGCAGTTTTTCTTCTTATAGTGATCGTGATGGCTATGGTGGTGGACGCGATAGAGACTATTCAGATCATCCAAGTGGAGGCTCTTACAGAGATTCGTATGAGAGCTATGGTAAGGACCCATTTTGAGGGTATCGTAGCAGAGTTTGTAAAGGTTTCCTAATCCTGATTTACTAGGCTGCTTGCATTTAAGGGGGAATGTCACACTCAGTTTTCTCCTCACAGTGAAAGTGAGAATGCAATTATTAGTTTATTTAACAAGATGATCAAATGATTACCATAACCTAACGAAGCAAAGTCTACAGTTCAGAATTGCGACTATCACTGGAAAATATGGCTGAGTTTCTTCTCTAAAAATAACAAGTTGTTCTGGAATATCCCCCAAAAGAGCCTGCTTGAAATAAACACCGTCTTCAGTCCTTTCAAACAGTCTTTAAATTCATTCGCTGCCTGATACACGGCCCCCACTATAAATGTCCCAACATGGCAGATTATATTAAAAAGTTTCAATTCGTACAAAAAAGTAACAGTAAACTTTAGTGCAGCAATTCTGTAAATTCAGATTTAAATTGTTATATATAACTTATAGTGTTGCCATATTACCTGACCATTGACCCTGCAGGTAACTCACGTAGTGCTCCACCTGCACGAGGGCCCCCGCCATCTTATGGTGGAAGCAGTCGCTATGATGATTACGGCAGTACACGAGATGGATATGGAAGTCGAGAAAGTTATTCAAGCAGCAGAAGTGATGTCTACTCAAGTGGTCGTGATCGTGTTGGAAGACAAGACAGAGGTCTTCCCCCTTCCATGGAAAGGGGTTACCCTCCTCCCCGTGATTCATACAGCAGTTCAAGCCGCGGAGCACCCAGAGGTGGTGGCCGTGGAGGAAGCCGATCTGATAGGGGTGGAGGCAGAAGCAGATACTGAAAAACAATCATAAACTTTTGGACCAAGACAGATTACTTCTCACAAACCCAAGTGGAAGTTGTTCTATCTTTACTACCAGAGGACTACTAAAAGGAAAAGTTGTTCTTACCTTTTTTTATTGTTGCCTGTTAAGTTTCCCCCTCCATGATTTTTATGCTTTTGTGAGGAAAAGTTAAAACAATGTTTAATTTCATTTCAAAATTGTTAACATTTCTTTCAAAAAGCAGATGTTAAATGTATAAAAGTTGAGCTGTGTACTAGTGTTGTAACTTTCAAAGTAAAAGTTTCCCTGAAATGCCAAACTTCCCATCTGATTTTCCTCATGAATGGAACAAGCAGTTCTAAGATCTTCCACACAACATCTAGCCATCTAAAATGGAGATGGATCGTTCTACACATTCAAACTCTCATTCTAAACAAATTAGTTACTTGTGGTTGGAGGGTGGTGGGGATGTGCCACATTAAAATTTCAGTTTCCTCTTGATTCTGAAATCACACAATATTCCCAGATCAAAATTTCTTCAGATCCTTGTGTAAAGAAAAAATCAGGATTCCATTCAGTCACTAAACCAGAAACAGCAAATGGATAATGCTGAGCATACTTTGCCTTCCTACTGTTTTGCTGGGAATTTGCAAGGACCTCTCCCCCAAAATAAACCATTTACATGTAATAAGTCAACTACAGAATACTGTAAATAAAAGGTTTGACCAGTTCCATCAAAGAAGCTACAAAACGATGCTTACTCATACTGTTTCAAATTTTTGCAACTCTGTGTAGTGTCTCACTTTTAAAGGACCATCTTTGATTCCAAAGGCAAATGGAGAAAATAAGATAAGCAAAGAAGTCTTTCTCTCCAACTTCTCAAAGGCTTATGACTTCATAAAAACAAGTGAATCTTTCAGCATTCCACAACAGATTTAAAGCATCAAATGCCTGTGAAACAGCAAAGATGGGTAAGCAAAGCAAACTAGTTTTTCAGTCTGTCAAAATTGAACCAAATTACCTTCCTCTTAGTACAGTGAGACATGCTGTACGTCATGGCAATGGAAGTGCTTTCTGTATTTAAAACAATATCTTATGGAAAAGCAATGCTGGAAAGCATTAGAAGTCTTCCAAATTCAACATTTCTTCTTATGGATATAAAGCATGTATGGCATCAATTTTGAAACTAAAGCATTTAAGAATGCAGCTCGTAGGCACAATGTGTTGCAAAGTAGGGTTGGGAGGGGAAATTCTATGCCCAGTATGTTTCATTGAAGACACTTAAAACAAGCTGCATGTACTATATTTCTAACAAATATTAAAATCCTGATGAAATCAGGAATTGGCTTAGATTGCCAAATATATCAGCTCGGATATTGGGCATTTTCAAGCAAGCCATTGCAAACTTGACGTTTAGTTGGATGCCTGACTTTATTTTAGTTTTGTGAAACTGCATTATATGGGGAAATTCTAGTACAAGTGGCAGAACCTGTGGTGAGTTGTCATGTCGCAGGTAGAGCCATGAAGTTCAAAAGATGCTCTTGAATATAGTAGACTTGAAGACCTCCAACTAAAAAAAACCTTGTTACTACTCTAGTCCTCAAAATAAATTTGCCGTTCATCTTATGGATTTAACATGGCAGTGCACCATTGGAAAGGAATGAGAATCCATAAGCCATGCAACCTATCACTAAGCCATTCCAGTCCATTCCAAGCCAGTGAACCTTCCACCACTTAAAGAGAAGTAGTAGAACTTGAAACACATTAATCTGCAAACCCAAGCTTGTGACTTTTCTGGGACCGGGATGGTTATAGGTTGGATAACCATTTTAAATCTGTTCTAGCTCTGTCATATCTGTTTTAATTGTTGCAGGTTGATAACCTTCAAAGGCATGATGGTCCAAGGTACAGTTCTGACACGTCTGCATGGATAAGTGACCGCAGCTGTAACAGTAGGAAAGGTAAATTTTTATAATAGCACTGTAACTTTAAAGAAATTTCCTTTTTTTCCATGCTCAAACTTTTGATCTCACTTTTTGGGTGGGGGTTGGAAACCGTGCCTTTTTCTGTGCTTGAAAGCAAAATTTCTAGGATGTTTGAACAGAGTACTTTAGCAGGTTGGGAAGTGGCAAGGATGACTGGGAGGGACTTAGACAAGGCCTCTGTGTATGCATTTGGGCCATCTGAGATGCACTAGCTCGGCTAAGAGCTCAGTAAAGAGTAGTTAAACTAGCGTAAACTGCTGTATGGATGCTTATTTTGGTTTTTGAGTTCACTTTTTTAGCTTTAATTTAAATTTACTCCTGAGCTAACGAAGCAAGCCAAAATAAGCCTGTTTTAAAAGAAAATGGCCATGCTGCTTTTGCAGTTTAACTTTAGTTTTTAACCAGTGCTGCCACCTTTAGGGAGATTTGATCTAAAATTATATGACTGAGTTTAATTTAATATCTAAAGATCTTTTGAGTTTGCTTTTGCTGAGGTTCTCCGACTAAACTGTGGAACAACAAACAAATGAAGCAAAACAACTCGAGTTCTGTAGGTCATTTGCTTATTGTTTAGCATAACAAAACCTACCTCTATCACATCACTGCACATTCCCTTTAATCAGGGGCCCAGCAGGCACAGGAGGAGATGTTTCCAGTTTGCTGAGACAACGGCATAAGGATGAAAGGCTCACCGAAACAAATACCTTCCCCCAAAAAGCATAAAAGTGGATGGATTATTGCTCTAACACAATTTTACCAAAAAGTCTCCAACCAAACAGTTGCAGTAGCAAAGATATGAGTTTTAACTTGGATCCTGAGTGTACTTCAAAACCTAACCTAAAGCATAGAAAAGATAGGACATTCCCATTTAAAATAAACTACATGAAAAATCTATACTCTAAAAGAGAACCTGCAGAAAACATTGGCTTCTTGTTTGCTCTCTCAAATGCTGCTTTTAAAAAAACTGAAATAGGGAAGCAGGTACTGCCTTGTGCATGTGACTTTCACTATTCATTTTAGGAAAGTTTTTTGGAGGGTTTTTAGCTGACAGTTGTGACTTACTGCGTTGGGTGTGTTCACATTATTGTTGTGTTGGAATTGTCATTTAAAAGTACAGTGCCCAGGGAATTACATAGCTTCTCAATTCCCTATCAGAATGTTATAATGTTGCTTTGTAATTTATCTTAAAGCTATTTTGACAGGAGGAAAATATTTACTATCTAGGGTATGCTATTAATTTAGAACATTGCTTTACTCTAGGATTTGTTCCTGCATTAATTTACTCTTTCCCACTACCTATCTAGGACAGTATAATGGATGCAACAAAAAGTTGTGGCCAGCCCACATTCCTATTCCTCATATCCCTTTTATATATATATATATTTATAAAAAACTCCGGAAAAGTAAAATTAGTTAAAAGATCTCCATTTCAATTTGCTGTTAGGACCAGTATTAACATCTCTAAGCCAGTGGTTCTCAACCTTTCTACATTACTTCAGGAGTCTTTGTCTTGTATACCCCAATTTTCACCTCACTTAAAAACTACTTGCTTACAAAGTCAGACCTAAAAATACTAGTGTCTCAGCACACTATTACTGAAAAATTGCTTGCTTTCTCTTTACCATATAATTATAAAATCAATTTGAATATAAATATTTTACATTTCAGTGTATAGAGCAGCATAAACAAGTAATTGTCTGCATGAAATTCTAGCTTGTACTGACGTCACTAGTGCTTTTCTTATAGCCTGCTGTAAAAGTAGGCAAATATCTAGATGACTTGATGTACGCCCTGGAAGACCTCTGCATACCCCCTGGTTGAGAACCACTGCTCTAAACCACTACTAACTGGAGCCCAGGGTCAGAGTTAAGGTACATCTGGGAACTGGGAGACCCAGTTTTATTACCAGATTGGTTACAGGTGATCTTTGTGGCATTGTACAAACCACTTAATTTCAGCTTTGGTTTCCTTACCTATAAAAGTTACCAACCTCACAGTGGTAAATGGCTAAGCTGTTTGTCAAGTGCTCTGAAATCCTCTTGTGGAAGGTTTAGTACAGAATTAACTTTATCTGAGTCCAGGGCTCAAAAAAAAATCTGGCCAGTGGCAAATAGGAAGACAGATTTCTAGCCTTAATGGCTGTTAATAAAATCATCCAAAATCAGAGTAGGATGGCAGAATCTGGAAAAATACTCAACTGCTGCTTCATTTTGTGGTGCATCTCTAGTGTGAGACTGACATTTAAGTATGTTTCAGTGATGGTAATTCCACACCTGGCGGGTGAACAAACTCTTAAATTGACACTGTTTAGGAAAGTTTACAAACATCAGCAAAGGTAGACATTGATCCTTCCCTATACATTACTCACCTCCTCAAACTTCTGCCTCTGACATTAAGAGGCAGACTTCTTTCCTTGCTGAGTCCTCTTTCCCACTTGCATCAGTGGGGGGACTGGAGAGTTGAAGAGATGGTATGTTTGTTTCTTCTTGGGGCTAGGGAAGGTGAAGCTTAATATACAAAAAGCCAGAGTCTTGATCAGAACATGAATTCCCCAGTCAAGAGTAAAGAGCCAAGTAAGTGGTGCAGCTTGGACTGGTTGCTAGGCTTTTGCCAAGGCATCTTGCTGGTAGAACTCACTTCTCCATCTTTCAAATCATCTGGCTTAATAGATGTAATTCTCTAGCTATATTAGATGTATTACAAAAATTGTCATGCTCTGGTAGAGTTCAGTTACTGCAGTGAGCAGTTCTACTTTTGGCAATTGAACAAGCTCCTAATGTTTTGGATAATTGAGCTGCTGCTTATGTCAAATATCTTGACTTATCTAGTGTGTACTGGACCAGTTGTAATTCAAAAGATGTTACACTTAAGCATTGTGTGAGGTCTGCTGCACCCTGCTGTAGATTTAATATACACAATTTACACTCATACACCTTATTTTCCTAATTCTTTTCTCCAAGAATGGTGGCTGTGCTAATGGAGGAAACCATTGCAATGGGCATTAATGCAACAAGTCATTTGCCTCTACTTTGAAACAGTTTTCATATAAACAGTGTCTTGATCCAGCTGATATACTCATCACTCCTTGTAGTCATGTTTGTCCCAGAATGCACTGGTATTCTAATAATGGTCCTAATGTTGCAGGGAACCGAAGTCACTTGCTGATCAAGTGCAGATCATTTCATGAGCGGGAAGTGAATTAGTAGAGGGGACGTGTAGTTGCAATTTTTTTGTTCCCATGGTTGCATCACCAGTTCAGTTTGGTCTGAAAGCTTTGTCCTATTTGTTAGTTAATTCAGTAAGTTATAACGTTTGCACATTCCAGATACAATTA